TGATCAGGATGAAAAAAGAAATCGATTAAGCCATGTCTGTCTGTCCGTCCGTCTGTCCGTCTGTCCGTCTGTCCGTGTACACGATAACTCGAGTAAAAATTAAGATATCTCAACGAAATTTGGTATGTAGGTTTCCCTTAATCCAAGGTAGGTTGGTATTGAAAATGGGCGAAATCGGACTTTAACCACGCCCACTTCCCATAATTTACTCAAAATTGATACGCCCCGGCTTACCATGTAGCCGTAGCTTTCGGTAAGGCGAAAAACATATATTTAATACGTGCGCCGGGTATTTAATGTTCGGCTCTGCCCGAACTTAGACTTTCTTACTTGTTATAGTTAGAAACGAAATAATAAAGTGTACCACGTGTGTGCTCAAACTTAGCCAGCGCTAATAGTGATACTGTAACGTCACAAATATAATTTTAACATTCCTAACGTCATTTGGAAAAGATAGCTATAATTAGCCATCTGTTTTCGGTTTTACCTTCCTTGCTTTTTTAATTAGCAAATATCCCACAGCAGAAGCTTGCGCAAACACCCAACATAAACCATTTTTCTCGCATGCGATAATTCCTGCATAATGCAACCTTGAATTATACTCGCTCTGGGAAAAGTATTACCAACTGTTGACAAGTCTTTTCAAGCTGCCAAATGTAGAGCCTAGACATATTTCGGCAAAGTCAAGTACTTCCTTTTTCCTTTGGCTGCGGAACTGAGAAGACGTCTTCTCTCCTTAGGAAGACATACAAATTTTTCGATCAACCTCCAGTGGATATCCCCTACCATTAAATCTTAGGTAAGTAAAAAGCTTTTTTATCATCCATCCTAAGAGAAAACTGATTTGCCTTATATAAAAATATGTATAGACATAATGCGACATGTGCGCTTTTCCACTTCTGAGCTGCTAATTTGTGTACGTGCATTCCTGGTGATACACGTCGATTTCCGATTGGCTGAAATACCGATAATTGCTAAAGGGAGAAAAACTTCCATGCACCCGGAGAGCTCCTGGAAAAGCTCGGCTGAATGACTAGATGCCTTCAGCTCCAGCGCAGGTTTCGTCGCAGAAAAAAATCAGTACATATTGCTTGGCCACGTGCGTTAGACGGTCCCGGGAAATTGCCACGTGAAACACCGTCGTTAATATTGTATGAAAAAATTACTAAAAAATTATGCTAGTGGATAAAATATACTATAAAATATATATATATTAACTAAGGTGGTGAACATTTAAAATAATTCAAAAAAAAAAAAAAAAA